AAGAAAATAACATATTTTAAAGCTTTGTTTGCTCTTGAACAGCGACAATAATTATTGAAAGTAACAAACCGTGTTTTATTTATTAGAAAAAAAAGGTTAAAATCTCATCAAAACCTTATTTTTAAAAATGCCTTCAAGACGCGGAAACAGGAAGTAAACAAACTGCTGACTCGTCCTCTTGTTTTCGAACTCGTTCCTGCAGCTTTGTGTTGGAGGGCTTGTGGTGCGATTTGTTTCCTCGGCTCTCTTCCTCATGACAGAACCGCTCTCGCTCACTTTAGCTCGATTTATCGTATGCAAAGTGTTACATAAATGTAAATCAACTCATCCGATTAATATTTCACCGTGATTTCACTTAGCAGATTTGTCTTTCAGAAAAAGCGGACACGAAACAATGAGAGCCGCTCTTCCATATTTTAATGACAAAACAAACTGCCGCTCAGACAAAACACGCGGGTTTAAACATTAATGCTTCCTGCAGATGTATATCCAGAAGAAGAGGAGGAGAGGAGGGCGGGGAGGTGGGGGGGAAATGGGGCAGAAACCTGAAGGAGGAGCTCATCAGGTTCGGAGAGACTTAAGTGCTCGGATGAACATCGTCCCAACAAAGCAGCCATGTATAATGCAGACGCTTCCATTTGTCATCTCTGAATGCTTATCATTGCTGTCATTATTCAAGAGGTTCTGAGTGTTAAAGACACAAAGACAGTCCCCTCCCACCCCCCCACCCCTAACCCCATTTGAGAGGTTTGGGACAAAATCCGTTTGTCCAATCCAAGTCAGATCTTTAAAAAAAAAAAACAGCGGAAAGAATGCCTCCGTTGAAGAGGAGGACACGTGGGTCGGTGTTATTAAACACTTGAGACACGACGATGCAGGTTCTTAATTATCCCCCCAGGGCGACGCGTTGGACCCCCGTCAGCCGGTTAGAGACGGGAACAACTTTGAATCACTCGATGGACGGGTGTGTGCGTGGATGCGTCGGTGCCTCCGTCCTCTCGTCTCTTCGGTGTGGTTGAACTCTCGGGGGCCGATTGGAGAATTAAGTTTTTATTTCCGTTCTTATTGATGAAGTAGGAATCTGGGCTCCATTTGGCGACAGAAGATATCAGCTCAGTTCGAAAAAGCTCAAGTTTGGCCTTCGGTTTTCAGAGTGAAAGTACTGTCATGGTGTAGCCCCGCCCTGAAGCGTCCTCCGCTTTCTGGGCTGTCTGCCTCTAAATGGACCATCATTTACTAAATGAACATCACGCTGTATTAAAGAAGACTACAAACTACAGATTGAGACCATAAACTCATGTTTACAATATTTACAGAGGGAGTAAATCAAGAGAGAAGTAGTCATTTTCTCATAGACTTCTATAGGACCAGAGGAGTCGCCCCCTGGTGGTCACCACCGAGATCGCACCATTGCGAGCACTGAGGAATCCCGGCAAAAAGGCAGAAAATAAGCCGTGTACCTTAATGTGAATGAGGGCTAACAGGAGAGAGGATTCAAACATGTATTCTGTGCAGTAAAACGATCACAATGCCAGAATTGATTTGAGTGACACGAGGCAGCAGAGGAAAGCCGAACGCTTTGCACTGAAAAGTGGCTTCAATGTGTAGAAACACAATACAAGTAAATGTACAACATGTGAGACACGTCAAACAAAGACATTTTGATTAAACACACAATCCTAAGATTTTGATTTGGTTGCTTTTATGGTCATAAATGATATAGCTGACTATAATGTATTGTATATGTAGATGTCATTAATAGTATTAAATAAATGAACGGATTAGTCAATTGACATTTAATTAAATAATTATCATTTTGCTTATCCATTAATCATATTCGTCATTTTAGTTAAAAAAAGATGCCAAAAATGTTCGGGCCACCTTTTAAATATGGAATTTTACAAAAATATATAAGCTACACTTAGTCTGAGAAAGTTATTCAGGTTTTTATGGATTTTATAAATAAAGAAAAAAACATGTGGAAGGTAATACTGAAAAGCTAACAGAGTTTAGGTTGTTAGCTGGTGTGCAGCCACACATTTATCTGTCTCTTCAAATATTAATCATACTTGAGAATCAGTAACTATGAATTAGACATCGTCGATACATTTCCTTAATCCTGTGAAACCCTAAAAGGCACCGAGACCTGAAATGATCCAGAATCAGACTCACTCACACACAGGTGTTTAAATACAGGTGATCCTGTGGCATCAGCTCCTCCACATGCTAACGATTAAGCAGCTAATTACTGATTAGCTTCATGTCGACAAGTCAGCAATACTTGTACAAATAATACCAAGAATCAGATTCAGAGGAAAGTAGACGGAATGATTCATGTTTTCACTGATTTTTGCTGTATTTTGGGGAATTCTATATTGATTTTGAATGCCCAATTATACTGTATAGTTTTGGAAAACAGCTCATGTAATTAACACAATAGATTCACTACTGTTTATGAATTGATTTTAACATGCTGGCTGTAATGTTCCATTTACCTCACAGGTGCAACATGTGTCATTTACATAAAAATAAATGAATGAATTTTACTGTAAACCCAACATCTTTAAACATTTGAAATGTATTTCCTGTGGTCAGGTGGGAGGAAATGTTTGTCTTCATTCTACCAAGTATTTATGTACTTTACACAACAATAGCTTGTTTGATGAAGTTACATCACAAACATCTAAAAGAGAACTTAAAATAAACACAATTCATATCACACTTTGACCAAAACTACTGGCTATGAAGATTAAATTCATAACTCTGTGTTTTTGTGAATTTATTTGAGGTATACTTCTTTAAAGAAGAAGAAAATAAAACGAGCATCGGAGAATGTTCTTAAATGTTAAGAAGAATGAAAATAATATTCTTAATTTAACGTTCACACAGTATTTATGAGAACAGCATGGAGGAGGAAAGCAAAGAAATGTGTAGTGTTGTAAATCAGGAAGGTAATGTTAATTAAAAACGTCTAGCCTTGAATTATGCTTATAATCTTTTTATAAAAGTTGATTTGTTATAAACATCTTGACTTTAGTTTGATATTTTAACATTTCTGTCTTCTCTACTGATTATGCAATAATGTGATTTAATTATTTTTTCATTGTGCCACAGTTTGAATTACATTGCATCTATTATTGTTCTACTATATTTTAAAAAGTATTAATATAGCAATTTATCAACGGTGCGTAGTGGGAACTCAATTGACAGATTTACTTAAACACAATGAACTGAGAGTATTCCTCCTGATTTTTTCGTGACGGTTAAGTAAAATAAACTGAACAAATCTTGAACTCAAATGTCATATATGCAGTTTAAAAAAAGTACATTTCTGCCAATGTTCATGTGAAAAAGATCGACGCGTCTGGCGAGGCATTAACATCAAATTTACATAAAGTATTAAATAAAACAATAATCCTTAACAAACATATGAACATAAAATAAGTAAAACTACACATTCTAAGTATAGAAACATATTTTTAGTACAGTTTCAATTTATCTTTATTTCTACAAACTGAAACGGAATCAGACGAAGATCTCGGTGTTTAACATGCGGTCTGTGGCTCCACCTGCTGTACTCTGCTGTACTACCAGGACTACTACCACTACATGTATATATGTACTACCAGTACTACTGTCCACGCATAGAGCTAACAAAGTGATTCATCACAGTGAATAGTTCACATCATCTTTTATTATTGTTTTGCCTCCTCATGTATACTTTCCTTCATATATATTGTGCTATTTTATCGTGTATTTATACTTTATATCATAGTTCATTTTAAGCATTGATTTTTTATCCATCTTTGGATAAAAACCATGTGATTGACTTGAAAGCTCCAGAACAGAGTAGGAGATGGTATATTACTTTATTGTGTAGATGAATAACATATGTTTTCTTATTTCATCATCAGCATGACCAAATATACTTGGACATATTAAGTACAGTTCAATTTTGAAGATTTGAAGAGAATTTAGTAATTGGACAAAATATTGATATATACAGTTTTTTTTAATTGTTTCTGTCTTAAACTATCGACGGTTATGATATGTCATTAATTACACGTTGAGTCTTTCAGACATTGTTTTTCTATACAAGGTTTCAAATTCATTACTTTCACTTGTTGAGTTACCTTTAGTCTATTTCATGGCCCTTTTATTTACTGTATAAATGAAGAATGTTTAATAAATTGATCTTGATTGGGTCTGAAAATGCTCCTAATCCGCCACCTGGTGGTTAAAACCGACAACATGTTAATTGTCCCATTTCCCCCCCCCAAATTTGGTCTCATTTTATCTTCATTTGTATATATTGACAAGCATATTCTGAGGGAAAGATTCATTAGACAATTAATTCAAATTAAGAAGTAAATTAAAAATAATTACTTGAAGTGTGTCTATAATATTATGAACATAGATTCCATCCTGGCCAATATGCAAAGTTAATGTAATAACAGGGTATAAAATAAAAGAATGTGTAAGTTTGAATAAGGATGCATCATCAATATTCTAAAAGTCAATCAACCAGCATCGGGCAAGAGACGGTCGTCAGTCAATCAGAGCTGACAGAGAATTATTCTCACATTTATACACCTATGGGCAATCTTCATCATCATCAAGTAACCTAAACCCCGACTGCGGGAAGAGGGATATCCAGAGAGAACCCATGCAGAGACGGGGAACTTTATTTTTTATTTTACAGTATTAAATCATATACACGTAAAATATTGGTTTATTCTAAAAATATGATTACATATGTATCTCTTAGAAACACCCTATATTTTATTTATCTTTCTAGATATATGTATATATATATATATGTCTGCGTGAATATATATATATATATATATATATATATATATAAACATATATAATATTGCACTCTACTTAAGGTATTTAAAAAAATGTTTTACTTATTCAATTTTGCTTTACCTCATTATATAGAGTTTCCAATGTGCCCTCCGCAACAGCAGGTGGGGCTAAACAAATTACCACAGAAGAAGAAGAAGAAGAAGGCCGCTTCGATGACGTAGCTAGCTTGTCACAACAACAATAGCTCGACGACTTTCTGACTTCGGCTTCGCTCAAACGACGTTCTCACGCCTGAGCGTTTTTTTACCGGCTGACTTTAGAAAGGGAATTTGCCGGTGACTTTACTGAGTATTTCATTTGGGGTAAGTCTGCTGCTGTTGTCTCTGTACGTTAACGGGGGGTTTGTTAGCCGTTAGCTAACTGCGCAGAGCATAGTGTATGCTAGGTACGTTAGAATGAGGCTAACACTGTTAGCCTAACACTGTTAGCCTCATTCTAACATATTTTTGAACGCTTTGAAGGTGTAAGTATTTCTTAACACAGAAACACGTATCACAAACATTCAACATAAACACTTAAAAGGAAACACCATCTTTCGGTTTATCACAAATATTCAACATCAACGCCAACCAGCGTAATTAATATATGAAGATATTGCTATTAGTTTCATCACGAAACGATATGTAACGTTAGGACGTTCTCACTTGTTTCTGGAGATTATGTTGATAGCGTTAAATGACGATCTCTGATGGTAGTTCAATGTTTAACCCTTTCAGGGCCATTGTGTTTTTTTCTTTTTCTTGCGGTCAAATTGTAAAGATGCATTTGGCTACTTTAACACTTTGGTAAGAAGTTTTAAAGTTGTATTTAAAACACCGTGCTTGCTAATTTTCTTCGCGTCTCATATGTCAAAAAGGTACCATTCCCTCTCCCGTGTACTCACTCACCTGATCAGTTGGTGTTGCTGAGTATTTTTCCCCTCAAGACGAACGTCCACACCATTTCTGCCGATTTTATATCTCCTGTCTTCCCCGACACCTTCTGTCTGCAGAATACGCGCTGCCCCCCTTCCCCCCGAGCGTTTCTACTTCCATCATGTCTCACAACTACCTGTTCAGACCACCTGCGGGCGACTCCGATCGCAGACCTGATCGTGGACCGCGCGCTTCTCCAGACCGCCGGCACCCTTCTCCAGACCGCCGGCACCCTTCTCCAGACCGCCGGCAGGGTCCATCGGGCCGCCGGAACGCCTCATCGGGCCACCGACGCGGCTCTCCAGACCGCCAGACCGCCTCTCCAGACCACCGTTACTCCTCTGCGGACCGCCGCCAGACTTCATCGGGACGCGACTTTTACAGGCCGCCTCTGGAGTCCTTGTCCGTGTCCCACCCGCCCACATCCTTTTCCTCCAGAGGGGCTCAGTTGGCTCAGGATGGCGCTCTCGGCATCCTGAACAGCTGCGGCCTAGAGCCCGCCGACCTGGCGCTGCTGGCCGAGCTTCCTGAAGACGTCCTCACCGTTGAGTCCCTGCCCCAAGTCCTCCAGCAGATCAAGGGAAAGCGGGGGACCGTCAAATCGCATCCTTCTGGTAGTCGTCCTCCTTCTTACTCCTCGTCTTCCTCTTACACACCCAGCTCCTCCCGTCGATCCAGCGCCAACCCTGCAGCTGGCGAGTGGGATCATCCCCGCAGCCAGCCCGCCCATTTCCCTCCTAAAGAGGTAACACAAAGAGGTCCTCTTTCACCTGAGCTGGACCGCTGGGGGAATCCCAATCCTGGCAGCTCAGTGAGAAAACAACCACCGTCACTATTGTCACTTGTGGTGGACTACAACTACAGACCAGGACCTTCTGATAATGGTAAAACCGCCAGGAACGCCAGTCCAGTATTCTCTCAGGACTACAACCACAGGCCGGGACACTCTGATCTTAGCCATTCTGGTCCAGTTTCATCTCAGGACTACAATCGAGACTTAAGTCCAGTATCCTCACAAGACTACATCCAGAGACCACAACCTTCTGTCTATGGCAAGACTGGGAGAGACGCCGGTCCCGTATCCTCTCAAGACTACAACCACGGACCAAGACCTTCTGATTATGTCAAGGCGGGAAGCGACGCCGGTCCAGTGTCCTCCCGAGACTACAACCACAGACCAGGATCTTCTGACTATGGCGAAACGGGCAGAGATGCCAGTCTAGTGTCCTCTGTAGACTACAACCAGAGACCAGGCCTGTCTGATTATGGCAAGATGGGCAGAGATGCTAGTCCAGTGGCCTCTCTAGACTACAACCACAGACCTGTACTGTGCGATTATGGCAAAACGGGCAGAGATGCCAGTTCAGTGTCGTCTTTAGACTATAATCAGAGACCAGGAATTTCTGATTATGGCAAAACTGGCAGAGATGGCGGTCCAGTGTCCTCTCTGGACTACAACTACAGACCAGGACTTTCTGATTATGGCAAGCGGTGCAGAGATGCTGATCCAGTGGTCTCTCTGGACTACAACAAAGCACCAGGACTTTCTGGTTATGGTAAGACAGGCAGAGACACCGTTCCAGCGTTCTCACAGGACCAACCCCCTTTCAGCTCTGCAGGCGGAACCAAAAGAACTCGTCGCTCGCGGTTCTCTCAGCTTGAAGCAGTTGATCACATGGCAGTGCCTCCTCCTGAGGAGCACTATCCAACCACTCTTGGGCAGCGCGGCGAGCCAGAGATCTCTTCCATTAGAAGCAGCAACTGCAGCCGGCTCGCCATTGCAGCCGGCGCAGCCACTGCCGGCTTGTTGCCCTCCAAGAAAGAAGCTCTGGACTTCCACGGGACGTCTCCACCAGGGTTCCCGTACTCATGCTCTCTGTGTGATATCACTGTGATGTCAGAGAAGGTAAGTCCACCTGTTCTCCTCCTCCTCCTCTGAAACCTCTCCCCACAGAGTCTGATGAGGGGTGGGTTGGAAGTTGCATGCAGCGGCCTCAGGTGTCGAGTGTCTGTCGGGTGCCAGACGCCAGTCCAGCAGTCCAGTGACGCGGATTTATTTATGCAGCTGTTTATTCTTGTGCTTCAGGTGTGGATTAAACACATAAACGGGCCTCACCATGCAGACGGACAGCTCAACCTGCTGCAGAAGTAAGTTTCTCTGCCGTTTTCCTCTGTAAAGCCCACCATTCAAAAGCCACCAGCAGCATTGACAAGCACAGTGTTTCCCACAGATCCAACGTCGCTGAACTGGAGTAGTTTGTTCAATATTCATTTGTAGTATAAATACAAAAGAGTGTGTGTGTGTGTGTGTGTGTGTGTGTGTGTGTGTGTGTGTGTGGTGGGGGGTGTTATTATTAGAGAGAAAAACAAGGCTGAACTGTCACAGGGTTAGCCGCGTCATTAACGGAGCAAAGCCACACCTATGCAATCCTGCCCCAATTCAATCTTATTTGACCAATTAGAAATGGGCTTTCACCGCATTTTGTTTGATAAATATTTTGTATTAAATCCTGTTGAGAACTTGAAAAATAAGTCCCAGCAATCTACAACCAGAGAATTTCCAGAGAATTTTCTCATTATTTCAACTTGAAAACGTACAAAAATGAACTGATATATTTTTCATAGTGTCTGGTTGTGTAGCGGTGACGTTAGTCACGTCTGGCACGAAGTGTCTCCTCGTTACTGACGCCTCCATAGAGGAGATTAAAGTCAGTTTACCTGTAGATACGTCAACAATTCAAGGTTTCTGGTCATCTTTGTTTTGAAAGGAAAAGGTTTGTTCTCAAGGACCTAAAACGATTTAGGAGCCCCAGCCACAAAAAACTAGAATACATCAGTTCACAATTGTCTGTGTGTGTGTGTGAATTCAACGTTTGTAGTTTTAGGACTTCACTTCTCTATTGTCATTTAGCATTTTTAATAACTACGTTGCGTCTCTTCTTTAGGTTTCCTAACTGGGACTGTCGCATGGAAACAATCAGCAGGTGAGTGTCTTAGAACAACGGATGCTCCGTCCATGACGACTGTGGTGTAAACTACACACAGACAAAATATAGATTGAAGCGGTACTTCTAATATACAAGACAAAAAGCTGGATCCATTTACAAGAATGTTTTTGACAATGAACCGTGAATAGACGAATATGAATCACATATTTTGCTATAGATTTCTCACTGAATAAGACTTTTACTTATTAAATGCAATCTGTCTTGTTTTTTAAGGCCCGACGACCCATTGGAGGAGAAGAAAGATGAAGGAAAAGCCCCCCAGCAGCCCCAGCAGCCCCAGCAGCCCCAAACAGCCAATCAGAGCGCCTCCAGTAAAGACATCTCGTTATTTTCCACCAGTTGACTGCTTATTACATTCCTCTTGTTGTTCATTCTTCTGTATTCTTCTTGTTGTATCACACTTACAATTGTTTTTCTGCGTTTAACAGTCCTGCCGCCGAATAAAAAGAAGGTAAAGACTTGGAAACTTTAGAAAGCATCAACTTAAAGTGCAGCTGCTCCTCTGAGGTCTTAAATAACAAACATCTTGTGTGTGTGTGTGTGTGTGTGTGTCCTGTCAGGCGTCGGGGAAAGGCAAAGTGGTTTGTGTGAGGTTCCCGCCTCAGTCCGTGGACGAGGCGTACCTCAGGAAGCTCACCGAACCCTTCGGAAAGATCGTCACGGTCCTCATGTTTCCGTCTCTAGTGAGTCCGCTGTGTGTTACATTGATGCTCTTCGTCTCCCGTCTGCGACGACGACGTTGAAAATGTTTTTAGCCGATGATTTGAAGCACGCCCCCATTCTCTCCCTCTCTGCTGTGAACCCTGCAGGCGTTCGTGGAGCTGGGCACCGTCGACCAGGCCAAAGACATGGTGAAGTTCTACGCCGGCTGTCCTCTAGCGGTGAACGGAGAGAACTTGGAGTTCAGGATCTCCACCACCTTCAACTTCCTCCAGGTAGATGTTCGTCCAGCACGATGCGTCCTTCTCAAACCGCCGACATGTGGAGGAAGCAGCTGCTACTGGAGCGAGTGGCGTGTCCATCGGCGTCTAAAGTCTCATATGAGGAGGACTTTACAATTCTTATTAGTACTTATTCTGTTCTGCACAAGTATTGGAGTTTACAAAGAAACCGTAAACCAACAAAAGCACAAATGCTCCCCAGTGAGTGAGAACAGAAGACGAAAACCAGAGACGAGCGCAAGACCAAATGTCTCTTCTGCTAGTCTAGTAAAAGTTTTGAGTGTTTCGTTTTTCAATCTAATGAATTCCTCCGTTTCTCCTCCCAGAGTTCTCGAGTAGTGAGTTTCTCTCCGGCTCCGGTGGGAGAGAAAAGCCTTTCGGATCTGATCACCATCATCACGAACTTCGGCTCGCCGCTCTACACCCTGTTCCTGCCATCTAAGGTGAGACGTCGTGATGTCATATTGTAATAAAGTAACATACTGTGGTATTTAGTACAATACTACAGACCCACCCAGTAGTAGTAATACCAGGTGGAGTACATAGTGCTGTACTGTAATATTTTGTAATACCATTCTCAAGTACTTACACTGATCAGTATTTATCATTCAGGTCTTTGTAGAGATGAAAAATACTCCGGATGCTCAGAAGATGGTGGATTTCTATTCCTCAAAAGCTCTGATGGTCAACAATGAGTCCATCAAAGTGTCTTTCTCTGTAGAATACAAGAGCCTCATGTGAGTACCACCCACCTGATGGACAGCTGATCCTCATCCACGGATGATGGATCAGTAAGTACAATACTCCTTCTCCTTGCAGGCGGGTCCCCTCGGCCAAGAGGTACGACGAGGAAACGTCCTCGTCCAAAAGGACACGGAGTTCCAGTCGAGAGAATGAAGACACGAAGACCGAGACCAAGAGGAGGAGGAGGAGGAGGAGGAGCAGCAGTGAGGACGGAAAGACGGGAAAGAAGGAGGAGGGAGAGAAATCCAGCAGGGAAGAGAGAACCAGATCCAGAGAAAAGTCTGGGGACAAGTCCATCCAGCAGATGTCCAGAAAAGACGGGAGGTCCAAATCCAGAGATACGAGAGAAAAGTCCAGCAAAGAGAAGTCCCGGTCTAAGTCCAGGTCTAAAGATAAATCCAGCAGAGGCGAGACAACCAGAACCAGGTCAAAATCAGGGGAAAAGTCCACTAAAGAGAAAAGCCCCAGGACCAAGTCTGGCTCAGGAGACAAATCAATGGAGAAGTCCAGCAGAGCGGGGCGGTCCAGGTCCAGGGACAAACACAGCAAAGACAAGGACACCAGAACCAAGTCTAATTCCAGAGAAAGGTCCAGCAGAGAGACGAGGTTCAGGTCCAGAGAAGAATCCAGCAGCAAGTCCTCTGGCCAGAGCCGGTCCACTGGAGAGTCTGAGGTGGCAGAGAAAACGACTGGTAAAAAAAAAAGCAATGTGTATTTTTATGTTATATATTTTGTATGATTATTTAACCTATTATTATTTATTAAAAACAAGAGATATTTGTTAAAGAAAAGTCCAGCCGATCATTAAAAGAATTGAAGATGGCAGATAAATATGACCATTTGCTGCCGTTCTGTTTTACATCCTGTTACACAAAAAGACCGCTTGTGCTTGTAGAACCTGTGATGTTCTACTGAATATATCGGTCAATCAAGAATGAAAGTGATGTTTAGTATTTAACTTTGTTGTTTGAGATCTACACTGCTAATAAGTTGGAAGTATGGAACTCTTAACTAATGTTTGCCACATTTCCAAATGAAGTATTAGTGAAAAAAAGTGAAAAGAACACGATCAAGTACAGAAGGAACTTTAAAATCTTTCAACATGATGATTTTTGTCCTCCTTAGACTGTGAGTCCAGGACCGATCCTGATCCAGATGCTGTCGAGGACTCCAAACCCGAAGCGGAAGACAAAGAAGCCACTGAGGAGGAAGACGACGGGTGAGTTTCTCTCTTTTTGTACGATTCACTGACATTTAAACCCGACTGTTGCTTTCAACGTGAAAATGGGGTGGTGGTGTGCTGCAGGTCGTCTGCCGAGGAGAGCGACATCGAGGGGATGGAGGTGATTGGAGAGGACGGAGAGAGTCTGGAGGATGAAGATGAAGAGGAAGATGACTGTCCTGCAGAGAGAACAGACTTGGCTAAAGAGGGTAAAAAAAATAAGTCCTAAACTTTGTCCTTAAAAGGAAAACTAGAAATGGATTTTAACAAACGATTCTGGTTTTTAGACAATGAGAAGAAGATGACAAAGGAGACAGCCGTTCAGGAGAAAGTCGTGAAGATAAAGAAGGAAGCGGCCGATGATCAGGAGGAAATAATGGCAATAAAGATGGAGGAGGCCGATCAGCAGCAAGTGGTGCAGATAATGAAGGAGACAGAAGAAAAGCGGGAATCTACCAAAATTAAGGAGGAGGAGCAGCAGGAGTGCGAGGAGGAAGAATCAGATTTCCCCATAGACCTGGAGAACTGCATCACTCTGGATGAATTGGGAGAAGACTCGTCTGATGAACAAGGTAAGTCCTGCAGCCGTTTGAAATGAATCTGTATTTACTGTAATGTGATGTAATTTGGTTATATTATATATAATTAATCTTTTCCTGTTTTATTGGGATCTTCTGCTTTATTCCAGATGAAGTCCCGGATGAATCCAACGTAAGTAGGAAATAATTTAACTTAAATAAAACATTTGTTTCGCTGGTCACACGTGCCTTGATCATATTCTCTTAATTTCTTTTCACAGCCTTCCTCCTCCCGAGTGGTTTACTTCAACAACCTTCCGGCGTGTCCTTTCGATGACGCTGACTTCGTCAAGCTGGTGAAAGACTTTGGGACGGCGGTGAAATTCTACCGAGTCCGCGGACGCAGGACGGTCAGACCCTGTTCTACCTGTAACACACAATGTCGCGTGGCGACGCAAAGTGAATGATGAACAATAAGAAAATCATGGAGAACGTCTTATTCTTAACCTAAACTGAATACTAGATAGCAAGTTTATGCTGAACGCGCACATTTTGAGAAAGTGGCTTTTAAATCAGGGGAAACAGCGATGGGATTTGGGTTCGATGAAATACCTTAATCATTAGTGAACATTATTGTTTCAGGGTTTCATTGAGATGTCAACTTCTTCTGAGGCTCTCAGAGTCGTTAAAGAGATGAGCTCCAAATCGCTCACCGTCTACGGCTTCAGAGTCTACGCACACATCTCCGACAGATACAAGCGCCTCACCAACGGGTCAGTCCCAAAACCTTCACCACCTCTTCTGTTAACCCTTCAGATCTCTGTGGTCGTTAACCCTGAATCCCTGTCTTCACAGGTTGTCTCCTCAGCGGAACGGGGACAGGGAGAAGGACAGCAGCAGCAGGAGGAGGAAGACTGAGAAACTCGACGTTGGCCGATCCAAGGAGAGGAAGTCTGAGGGGGGAGAGGAGTCCTTGAAGAAGACTCCAGTGAAAGAGTCAACGTATAAACAGACTCAAAAAGACTCGTCTAAAAAGACTCCAGAGAAAGACTCGTCTAAAAAGACTCCAGAGGAAGACTCGACTTGTAGAAAGACTCCAGAGGAAGAGTCGACTTGTAGAAAGACTCCAGAGGAAGAGTCGACTTGTAGAAAGACTGCAGAGGAAGAGTCGACTTGTAGAAAGACTGCAGAGGAAGAGTCGACTTGTAGAAAGACTCCAGAGGAAGAGTTGACTTGTAGAAAGACTGCAGAGGAAGAGTCGACTTGTAGAAAGACTGCAGAGGAAGAGTCGACTTGTAGAAAGACTGCAGAGGAAGAGTCGACTTGTAGAAAGACTGCAGAGGAAGAGTCGACTTGTAGAAAGACTGCAGAGGAAGAGTCGACTTGTAGAAAGACTGCAGAGGAAGAGTCGACTTGTAGAAAGACTGCAGAGGAAGAGTCGACTTGTAGAAAGACTGCAGAGGAAGAGTCGACTTGTAGAAAGACTGCAGAGGAAGAGTCGACTTGTAGAAAGACTGCAGAGGAAGAGTCGACTTGTAAAATTATTGCAGAGGAAGACTTGTCTAAAGAGACATCACAGAAAGCGGCTGTCAATAAAAATACTTCAGGAAGGGATTTAAAACTGACTGATGAGAAGAAGAACAAAGAGTCTGCTGCTAAAATGGTTTTGGCAAAAGAGTCCCTCTCTAAAACTAGTCCAGAAAACAAAACGTTAAAAAGAAAAAGGACTGGCGAGAACGACTCTGTGCCCGAAAAGAAAGAAAAGAAGAACGAGTCGACGAATGATGAGAAAAAAACGTTATTGATCCACAAGAATGAAGGATCAACTGAGCGGACTCCAGCGACGGACAATTCCTCTGAAGCTCAGGGGGAGGAATCTGAACTGGGACTGACGAGGAGTCCAGATCGATCCGACTCAGATCCTCCCGAGCCTCAGACCGATCAGGTACATCAGCTGCAGAGTGCAAACGCTGACATGCAGAAGAAGCTAAAAAAACCTGGATGCTGTGCATGTGTGTGAGTGCTCAGGAGCACGAGGCGACGGTTCTGATAATCGGTCTTGTGTGTGTGTGCGGGGGACAGGAACCTGCTGTTGACGGGCTGCAGGACTCTGAGGCTGCACTCCAAGAGCAGCAACAATCTAGATCTTTTGGGGGCGCTGCTGAACGGCAGGAACCCACCGGTCCTGTTGGTAAGAAGTCCACCATGTTTGTCTCCACTGAGCCTGGATGGAACCAGGAGGAAACCTCTGGTTCTGCAGTGCAGCATGTGTTAAAACCTGCATTGTCTCTGCTGTCCACCAGGGGGCGACGTCTCTGATCCCATAGTGGTCTGTGAGAAAAAAGAGGGATCTTTGAGTCCAGGTCGTCCGACTCAGAAGCTAATACAATACTCCGTTTTGGGGGGGAAATTCCTACACCCCAGGGTGCATTTTGTAGATTCAGTCTATTGAATATGCTGTGTGTTGTCATTGAGTGGTCACTAGGTCAGAAACAGCGGTGCGTTCACTGTCCTGTTCTTTGTCGTTCTTACAGGAACAGAGTTTGTCCGTCCGGTGGTCGGATACTTCTGTAATTTGTGTCAGCTGATCTACGCTGATGAGGACGAAGCCAAGCTGCAGCACTGCAGCACCCTGACGCACTACAGGAAGTACCAGGTGATTTATTACATTTTTAAATATTAATGTTATTAACATTTTTTGGTGCTGATCTCTCCTTACATCTGCTTTAATGCTGCCGATTTGTGACAGAAACCTTTTTTTTGTTTCAGGAAAAGACAGGGAAAGATCCGTGGGCGAGCTGAATGTTTGAATAACACACATGTTGTGATGTAATATTCTGACTTATTCATCCAATTGTAAGAAATGAATGAACAATTTCTGAACCAGTTGGAACCTTTTTTGAATTTACCCAGAAATCTGAATCCGGAATGCCAAAAAAATTAAAACTTCTGTATATAGTTTTTCCTCAAATACAAAAAAGGCTTTGTTTATTATTCATTTTATGTTAATATTGTAACAATCACAGCCCCAACAGACTTAAAAGACACCATTGTTTTAAAAAAAGTGGGACCTGAGTTTTCAGATAAAATATTTTCAAATATTCATTATTTTAACCATCTGGCATTTTTTAAAGTCCAGAAACAAATAAGAAACCTAACAGAATTAATATTAAATAGCTATTTTATTTTGTCAATTCACGCAACCTGTTGTGGATGTTTTATAATCTGATAACACCAAAGTTTAGACAAGTGTTGCTGTAAAAATACATACTTTTGACTTGATCATTTTGCTTGAACATGACATTTTTGGTCATAAACTAGTCTGGGACATAAAAATAGGTTCATGCGCTTTCATTTTACAGATACATTTGGAACAAATATTTGTTCACTGATATTCCAGTGATACAGTCCCGAAGTCATGTCTGTTCTAATCAGCTGAAATAAAATAACACATTAAAGCTGCTAGTTTTATCTGCTAATAGAAATGTGTTAATATTACTAATATTCTTAAGTTTTTTATTTTGAATGCTTGTAAAAATTCAATTTCAGAAATCCTTTTTTTATTCAGGTATCGCTCCGTGTGTCACCATGACAGACTGTTATGATTTTTTTTCATCTTGAAATACTAACTTTAATAACTTCAATTTATAATTTTTTCTATGACATTTTTTCCACGTACTATGACTTTCTATTGCCTTATTTGGACTTTCTTTACTTGTATTATGATTTATTTATTTTCTACTTAAAATACTATGACTTTAATGTTTTACAATTTACAATGCTATTTTCTTCGAAGCACACTATACTGGCACTTTCTTTTCTGAGGGATATTATAATTTTTTTTTTCCCCCCCTCAAATCCATTGTTACAACCAGGCTCTGTCTGCAATGCGAAAGGGAGACCAGACTAGTGTAATAATAAATACCAATTTGTATAAAAGCAAAAAACTAAACTCGTCCAAAAAAGATGGATTTCTATTTATGTGGAACATGTACTTTGTTTCCAGCTCTTGAGTATTATCAGTAATACGCAACAGCTTTTTACTAATATTGTACTTTTTGTATAGTATGTACTAGCAGACATATTTGGATACTGAGCTCTGGTGGACATTCATGACATAATGAACCACTCTGCGTGCCTTTGAGCTGTAAAACGCTGCTCTCTAGTGGAAACTGTGCTACAAGTTCAGATAAATGCACACAACAAACACAGAGCATTGAGTCTACTGAGGTTATGACCGCGGAGAGACTCAGACTCTTATCAACACGCCGCAGGCGACGGGCCTGCAGAAGAATTTAATGTTTATCTAGTAACAAATCATTATCTGTGTGACACGTGAGTCGTGACAGGCGGCCCCCCACTTATTCTGAGAAGAATCGATTGAGAGAAGCAGGAACACTTGTGTTTAAGAGCTTTCATTTATTTACAATAAAACGCTTTCATCTCTCCGCCATTTGAAATGGCAGATTACATATTTACAAATATTTACATGTCAAGAAAACTATTTAAAACATAGCTATTAGGCGGTAGAAGACCATTTCTATGAAAGTGCTTACTCCAAAATGTGAAGAAACTGCTTCTTTACGTCCACAATACCCACGGACTCCTGATTTAAATTATTAGGTGACAACTTCTTGTTTACATCGTTAGCCGCAAATGCCGGGAAATTTTTGAGATTAGTAATTCTACATTTATCCTGCAGTCTTATAATAATGTAACTGTGCTGCAGTAGCTCATAGCATCTGAGTCACACTGTTAAATGAACACGGTGAAAAGTGAAAAATGACTCGTTAAACTCCCCTTTCTTAATATAAGAAATGCAAACATATATCTATATAGACGTCTTTCCCTGATTCAGATAACGGTAATTTGGCCAACATCAAGTACAAATCCATGCTGTGAAAATATATTTTTTCAAATAACTGGAATAATTCAAGTTTATAGCCCCCAAAAATAAAATGACCTCATGAACACTGCATTGTAATTCACCCGTCCCATAGAATCTTTAGCTAATAGAGCTTGGCATAATGATGTCAGTCATTGCAACCTGCGCTAATGTTAGCCATTAGCTCTGTTTAGCCAAGCAGCCAACGTTAGCTAGCTACGGGCAGGACGTGGGTTCAAGTAGTCAGGTGCTGCTGCTGTTATTGTTTCTGCGAATGAGCTGATGAATAATATAATAACTTTACATTCAATCAGTAATCACGCTCCTATAATGAAACGACCAATCTGAGTTGCGAGAAGGTCGGCGACAACGTAAGCTAGCGCAAGCTAGCAATCAGCAGCTAACGGTCTGACGTCTGAAAGACACTGGGGCCTTTTTTACAAATCTGATTTCAGATTGAGCCCCACGCCCCCGACATGCTGCCCCCGTCCTAGAAACTCCTGAAGAACTGCAGGGAGAGCTCGTAGGTCAGGAACATGGTGGCGCTCATCGGGAAGCCTCGGACGGCGTTGACCGACGCGCCGCGGAAAAACACCTGCACACAAGAAAGCAGCTTTTAGTTTTTATATCTATTTCAGAATAAGTTTTTAAAAAATGGAGAAATGAGGGGGAAGTAGAGGGCAGCATCTTAAATAATTTATGTGCCTCTAAAATTCATGAAAGTCATTTATTGGGAATGAAAGAAGAAGCCCTCCTTTAAATAAAGTCCTTTTTAAAGGTTCACAACCTGTAAATACTAATAATAAAGTATTTTCATCTCTGCAGAAAATAATCTGCGTTGCGTTGCATCAAATGCAGTTAAACTTCAACGTATATATTATCACTGCCTTATCAAATTCATAACATCTGTATTATGTGGAGCTATAGCTTGTAAAAGTACAAATGTGATATGTGGTGCATAGATTCATATTTCATGCTAATTTTAGAGTTGTATGCAGAAGATGTTAACATCGGTCAGACTCAGGCTTTAGCTTCTTTATATATATATTTTTTGTCACCTTATTTTTTTCTTGTTACAACTTTTAAGTAATGTATACTGTAATAACCTGACCCGCGTATCTGTGACCACCAGTTTACTCTAATCCAGCACCAATGACATCCTGTTATTGAGCTAAAACGTATTTTATTATAGGGCTTCCACGTCGGACAGCTGCTGACTCAGTTCACGTTCTGAAAACTTTGACCTTTGGCTGCGATCACCGTGACCTGTGGCACCCTGAACGCCGTGTGCTGCAGCATATTTGCTGTTGATTTATAGCCATGTGGCCGTGTTACAGCCGGCCACCTGACGCGACCTCCACTGAAGCAACACATGATACGTACAGAATCACCTCCCTGTACGGCTGCTTAAACAATTATTACTTCTCAGAGAGGTATTACAAATCTATAATAATTCTTCCTTGTTGAGGGTTTTTTATGCTATTGCAACTTTTCCACATTCATTTTTTTTTAAGCACATTGTTAGCAACGGCTTAGCATTAGCATCCAGAGGCCTCTCGGTCTGGACGGCGAGGCGGGGGCTCACCTGCGCGCCCTCCTTCCGGTAGCTGCTGACGATGCAGTGCACGATGCCCTTGTACTTCCTCTGCAGCTGGGCGTCGGCCTGCAGGCGGCTCTTCACCACGTCGGCCGGCGTGGCCGTGACCCAGGAGATGGACCCTGGAGGAGGGGAGACTTTTAGTTTCGAGGTGATTCGGACGGTCAGGTTAGAAGGCCTGGGACGAGGACAACTACCAAGTGTTTAAACTTACACAAAACATGGACATTAATGAACGAAATAAAAAAACTCAATTAGCTATGAATACTGAGTAGGTTTAGAGCTTTCATTAATTGCAGCGGGAGAGTTTTCTTTTTCACATGTTTAAAAGAAGATATCTACATCCATCTATTGTGGTGACGTTATATGTTTGTATGAAATAAGTTAAGTTTTTACCCCATTCCCACGTAGTCTCTTCAACATGGCTTTAACTTGACTAAACTTCTTTTCAAAGGTTGTTTTCTCTAATTAGTTTTTTCTTAGACTAATCCAGAAATTTGTTTTACAGGTTTATTGACAACGGAAGTAATGGATTATTCAAGGAAATAACTAGCCCAATAATCAATAATGAACTAGTATTTATACTGGGTCTAAGTCCAACTCTGCAGACCAGTGCAGAGAGGAGCTTTGAGTTATTTTGACATCTGACAGGTTTTTATATATTATATATAAGAGTCAATACAGCAGATTCCAGTGGACAGTTTGGTAACTGAAGCCGACTGAGCTCTGAACTAAATGCATCTTGGCCTCTCACAGTGCTCCTCAGCGGCCACCAGGATACTCTAGCTATGTGTGTGTGTGGGGGGGGGGGGGGGGGGTCCAGCTGTGGATGGTTCACATGGTACAGGGATTTAAATGCAACCGAAGATTATTTGCTGACCACTCTTTGAGTTCACCGGGTGTTTCAGAAGCCAAACCTCCTGTTTGGACTCTAACATCCATTCGGTGACGTTTACCTGCGAGTCCTCCGGCCAGCCAGATGGAGCCGGGGTGCAAGCTGGAGGTGCCGTCGGGCTTCAGCAGGTCGCAGAGGAGGGTGTAAGGGATGAAGTAGAGCGTGTACCCGGGCACGTCCCTGAGGATCATGGCGCCGGCGCCCCTGTACAGGCCCTGCAGGCCCTCGGTCTGCAGGATGCTGCTGATGCAGTGCGCGGGCCCCCGGTACAGCCTCTGGGCGGGGAGGGCGACGGAGGAGCGCAGGGGGATGGTGGTGCCGTTCGGCACGTTGGCGGCGAGGTGCAGGTTCTCTGTGACGAGGGAAGAGAGCACGGCTGAGGGCCATTCGTTGTTTCCGGTGTCCTCTTCCTCTTTCTACCTGGACCATTGTGGAATTTTGGCGGAAACTGGCAACTAACTGAATCTGTACTGATCTGTAAAGACATTCTGTACTGAATGTCCTGATCCCAGGAAACATTTTGTACTCGATGTGCTGATATCAGAAGACATTTTGTACTTCAGTGTTTCTCTGATGAAACCTGCGGGCGTGTTTGCAGAGAGAACGTGGGAAGCATTGTCTTCAGGTCTGACTCGCGAGTAACCAGTGACCTACGGCTCATTGGCAGGACACCTCGTGCCTTTATCAGGACACTGCGGTCAACTGTTACAATATATAACTCTTTACTATCAACTCTGCACAATACAGAAACATCAACCACAGGAGAGCACGCTGGAAAACCCCCCACACGTTGCCTCAGAATTTCATATATCATATCATATCATATCATATCAATATCATATCATATTTCATATGCGAGTCATCACGTCATGTGACGTGTGAAGGGCCCGACAGACACCATAAAAAAAAGGACATGAGGGTTTTACCTGCTTCCTTATCTAGTAATTAACCTCCTTCTAATCTGGACACTTCCTCTCAACTTGGCTCCTCAACCTCATTGAGCATTTACACTTTGACTTTGACGCACTCCTTTCAGGGCGTCCGGTTGTACCTCCACTTCAATGGCGTCCAGCACTTCTATATCAAGTCTCAAGCTCTGAGGCCAATTGAACTCCTTTCAGCACTTCCAATCAAACACTTTGTCCACTGCCTCCATTTACAACGGCCACTTCAATTCACCGGCTGGCACTCTAATTATTAAACCTGTCATCACTTCAACTCCTTTCAACGGCTCTTTAAGGGCCGGCTGCCGTCCCAACGAAGAGGCCCGGCAGATATTCATCCACCCTTCTGAGACAACGGATAGGAAATTTAGTCCTATTGTGTTGCTAAGTTGTGTAGCCCAGGCTTCTGGGGCTAAGCTACGCTAGCATAAGCAACACCTGTGGCTATAAAACGCTACAACATAAGAGATTTATTTAACTACACATTCCGTTTCATATTCAGAGGGAATTCTTGAAGTAACAAGCTTCTTTTCCACAAGGGGAATGAAACCCCCCCCAAAATAAACATTGATTTACCCGCGAGAACCATCTGCGTCTGCATCTGCAGTCGGATCTTGACCAGGTCCACCGGGGCCCCCAGGCCCACCGACATCAGACCGGTCAGCATGCTGGCCAAGGTCAGGTCCGCCATGCTGCAGGGCCGCCGGCCGTCGCCATAGCGATACTGGCTGATGAGCCTCTGCGTGTTGCTGAAGAAGCCGAACACCACCGAGTTGTACACGGTGACGCTGGCCAGCGGGAAGGACATTCCCTTAAAGAAGCCCGCCACCTGGGGAGCAGGAGGAAGAAGAAGAAGAAGAGGGGGGGGGTTACATTGAAAAGCAAGAATGTATTTTATTCAAATGTACAGACCGGCTGCTGGGAATGAGAAAAAAGAGCAGTAAGCAGCAGCAACCAGTCATAAGAAATAATATTTCATATTGTTGTTTTTATTTCTATCATGTTATTAGTAGTGTGCAATAATAACTATTGTGATCTTGTGTCATATTATTATAAATGTTTCATTTATGCTATTCGTCCTTTTGAGAACCCTCGTTTGTTTGACTTTGCTGTTTTGAGGGTTACATTTAAAAGCATCATGCACGACTAAATCCTTTCAATCATTTGAGTATTCTGTTAATATCTCCGTTAATATTTAATATGCTTACGGTCTCCTTCCTGTAGATGGTGAGGACGCAGTGGAAACTGTTCTTGTAGCCTTTCCCCGCCTGGAGCCGCGTCTGGACGAGACATTAAAGGTTTTTAACTGATTCATATTTCCTCAAAGATTCTATTTATTCCAATAGTTGAGGGACGCATACCTTCACTGTGTCCAGCGGATGTCCCACAACCACGCTGCAGCCTCCTGAAACCAAAACCCAAAGAAAGAAAAAGAAAAATGAATGCATGAAATACCAGAGGAAGAAAAAAGAAGGAAAATGTTTCCATGGAAATACTGTGAAAGGAAAAGAGATTCTCTTGAAAGTAAGTGATGTTGTAACAACATTCGCCATCATGAGGCCCCGGGGGGGTACAAGCCTTTGTCCCGTCATTAACCCCCTCAATACCTAACAAGCACACGGCGTACGGGGCGGCGTGCCGACTGGACTTCAGAGGCGTCTTTCATAACGAGCTTCGCCATGGTTACGCTTTTAAAGGAGAAGCAAGAGATGCAACTTCGGTAACTTTGACCCATTGACTAAAATAGAGGTTTGTTGCTGAGGGTTCTTTGAGTTTTTAAAAACATAATAGTCTCCTGTAATAAGAAAAGCTTTCCTATAGTGTTCTTAAAATGGATCTTATCACTTTGATCTCTTCTGAGTTCATTGGTATGTTCTTGCTTTGCATGACTCATCAGTATGGGGTGCCATTGACAAAAGTTCAGAGAAACCCGTTGACTTTTTACCAAATCCATTTCAGAGGAGCACAGACCAGCCAATCACAGCGTCAGCAAGCTCAGACTTTAATAGCATTCAGAGCATTTTTCTCCTTTTATTTCATGGATAAAGTACGACAAATACAACACTGTATTTTCCCAGATCGACTCCTGGACCTCCATTCATTTCCCTTCATGTCCCCACTGATGGGGACTTATTGTACTTTAAACGCTGGCTCTTTCACAGGGTCCCAAAGCAAGCCGCTCTCACAGTTTGAACTTTTAATTGATCCTTTATTTTATTTCATCTGTACGACCCTTGCAAACATTATTAATTAGAGGAGAAAAACATTCAGAAGAGCTGCAGCCGTCTTGAATCATGTTGCGCTGCAAAAGCGGAGCAGCCACACTCGTCTCAGCACCAGCGGTCTACTTTTTAAAAAACGTTGTGCATAACAGCGCCTCTAGCGGCCGGGCCCGTCGCAGCAGGTCCTCCACTTTAAGAAAAGAAAAGAAAAGCGTTTTCTCTCGGGTAGAATCGACTCCTGTGCATAATCAATGCAGCGGGGAATCATCTGCACGCGCCTGGGGAAGAGATTACGCGAGTTCAGAGGTAAAACACGGGGAGGGCAAGTGTTTATCCATCGGTGCGGGGAATGAGGGGGGCGAGGGGGCTTTGTTTACACCGGATCAAGGGGCGCCCTATTGTCTTTATGCAAATCAGATTCTTTTTTTTATGCAACAAACTTTTTTTGACCTCATTTACACCCCCCCACCCCCCCAAAGAAAAAATCATGCATTCACGAGAAGCGATTGAGTGCACGGACCCCCACCCATCACTGAGATCTTCTGAAGCATTAACCCTGAAATAATAAAGTTGGTAAACACTCACCGCCGATGCATCCCGCGATGAAGTCATCCATCACGAAGCTCTTCGAGGTCTGCAACTTCCGGTCGGAGCAGAGCGCCTCTCATCAGTCAGCGGGTCCTCAGCCTCTCCACCTTGTGTCTGACCGAAATAAAACGCGAGGTCCCGTGTGCGTGTGTCTGTGTGGGTGTGTGTCTGTGTGTTCGTGTGTGCGAGCTTTGATAAGAGAAGCCCCATCACTTCCCCTCAGCCAATCAGGTGCGAGCTCTGCGCGCAGCCAATAGAGAGTCCGTCATGGAAATGAGCCACGAGGTGAGAGCTGAGCAGAAAGACACACGTCACTTTTTAAAATAATATTAATATATCACAAACCGTCTGAAACCAGAATAAATTAACAACACGCTCCATCATTTGCTGCCATACAGTTCTAGGCAAAGATTTCCACGCACTTTCTTACTGAATTGAATAAGAGAACGTGTCCAAACCTTTGACTGGTAAACTCATTAATAAATCATTATTGATATATCCATCCTCCTTTGTGCGCCCCTAAGGGTTCTGGCAAATTGTGGGCTCTACAACAAAAATTCAAATTGATATGATTTGAACCTATAGCGGTTTTCTAAAAACCACTTTAGCATTACTAGCATGATAGCTGGTTATCCAGCTAAAACATATGCTTAAATATTAAGATAATATAATATGAGAGTGAATACATTTCACGTTTTTCATATATTTCTGCATGCATCAAGTTTTGCTCATTGTCTGTTCATATTTTAAAATTGTGTTAATTGCTGCTTTTGCTCATTTTCGAAGGGGAAAGCTGTCAATCATCTTGATTTGGGACGGGCTTTCCTTATATGTGTCATAAGATATCAAATTTATGAGTAAAACACTTTTTTATTACTTGACTGTACAAAAGCATTTTGACATGTCTTCCAGAACATCAGATGTTGTTTTTAACTGTTATTGATTAAATCGAGCCAGGGGCCAAGTTCTAGAAAGACCAGAAGACTCATATGCTCTATTTTCTGTGAATAAATACAGCCATTGCAGGACATAAGAAATAAAATAAATTAAGCTAGTAAAGCACATTTATAGAAAGCTGATACAAGATATGAGAAGTAGATGATTGTTTTTAAAGCATCTCAAGGTGGGAAAAGGAGGAAGCTGGATGTCAAGGGGTTAAATGGTCTGTAAACACATAAAATGATCAAAGTTAATGTTTCACAGTGGTTATGAAGGACGCCCCCCCACACACACACACACCGCTCCATGCAGACAAACTCAGCTCTGCCTCGTGATAAGACGCTGATAGCAGAGACAGTTTTACACATTCAAGTCCAGAGAAATAGAGTTTGACCAGCAGCAGAAAACAAGAGGAAAGAAACAGATCGTACTTCTTATCTCTTTTGGGGTTTTTCCTGCATCAAAAATGTTGGCTCACGTTTCCCCTTAAATCGTCTTCTCCCATGCTGGTCTAAAAAAAAAGAGTTAACACCAGTTAACTCATGTTCTTCTGTCTGAAATAAAGTGTGGCTATTTTTGCCTTTAATATGAAACACATAATAATTCACAGAGTCACGACTCTCTTGGAAAACATTCGCTATTGTGTGATTGAAGGTCGTTGAGGGGAACAGGAATAAAATCTTATTTCACCTTTGATAATAATAATAATCACTCACTAATTCATGTCCCAGTCACATTAAACTTTGCAGTAAAAGTAAAAATGCTCCCATCAAAGATTGTTTGAACAAACATGCAAACAGAAACAGGAGCAAACGTCCCAACTGACTTAATGCCTAAATTTCATCAACTTTATTTTCAATTAATTTATTCAAATGTTCTTTTTTTTTAAACATTTTATTTAATTTACAGGATATCTATATTAAACATTGGCTGCATTTCCTTTACGCCTTCAACACACAATTTCTAACCTGCCATCGAGACCTGTAATGAATTGATAAATTGATGTTTAAACATATTAAATATTTTTTGGTAGGTAAGATGAGTGCATCTTTGGTATATGTAGTCTCTTTGTATTTGTAGTCTCATACAAAAAAAAAAAATTTGGATCATGAAAAGGGAAGAAATTAAAGCCTCGTCCAACATTCACACCTCTGGAACGGGTCAGAGCTTAATTCCTGTCGAGTTGAGTTGGGATTCCCTCTTCATGATGAGGAAATGTACACCATCTATATATAAATAGACATAAACAAATATAAATAGTCAGGCTTCTGGGATCCAGCTACTGTGAACACCTCGTTATGTACAGGAACTACTTAATGTTGTTTTACCATATTTCTGAATGTGAAGCAACAATGTTCGAAGCGCCGAACGTGTCGTAATAAATACGGACTGAAACTTTATTTTTTATTGTTAATATCAGAGATGGAATTATACTTGATTTACATCCAAATTATTATTTTTTTTCAGAGTAATTAATTAACATTTCACCAATGAGAACCCCCGGAATGTGAGTTTATTAACATTGGTGACCTGCATGTCTATAAACAGAAGGTGTGTCACTGGTGTGTTTTGCTGATGATGCATCTCATGTGTTTCTGTGTCACGTTTCAGGGAGTGAAGAACCCCCGACTTGTAAAACTGATGATACTGATTCACTCAGATGACAAAACATTTTATTTTCAAGTGAGAACCTCGTAGTCTTAAATCTGATTGTAATCCTCCACAGAGGATCAGTTACTTCTTTAATTGTGTCCAGTTATCACCTGAAATCACACATACAAGAAGCTCCTGAGCCTTTTAGTGTCATGTAATGTTTAATAAAATCATAATATATTTTGACAAGAAACCTAAATTCTTATCAATAGTGGACAAAGTCCACTTATTGACCTTCAAAAACAAATGTACACACACTTTATCTCCTGTGTGTGTGTGTCTGTGGTGTGTGCGGATGCCGGCCTCTGATTGGTCGGTGGGGACGGGTGTGGTTGGTGTGGATTCATCGAGGAAGTTTAAGCGCTAAAGTACACCTGTAAGTCATAAAATAATGGGAGCAAAAAACTGCAAAGAAAAGACTGAAGAAGTGAAAAGAGTAAAAGAGTAAAATAAGTAAATAACTCGGGGCATCACACCCGATGATAAACACATTTAAGTAGAGGGAAATCCTTGAAATGCTTATTAGTAGAAAAAGGGGTCATGCAGACCTCTGAAGAATAATTATTCAAGGACGAACTGTGCAAAGTCAAAGATTAAAGTCAGATATTAAAATCCACATCTTACAAAAGTCTCAATCAATACCAATCATTGATCGATGCCATTTGAAGATGTGTATGCACAACGCATTTAAACATTATGACGACTCAAGACAAATAGATTCCTTTTGACAGTTTGAGGAAAACATCAGCGATGTATAAATCATGTATCGTGGGTTAAATATATTTTGAATGATTACAGAATTCCTCTTCTCATGTTGACGTGTCCCTTTAATTAGCATTGTGGACATGATTGAGATGTACACAAAGTCACTAGTGCTTTGAAGCCTAGAATTCAGCTTTATGGTCTATTTGACTCTAAATGGACCATCATTTAGTAAAAGATCATCATGCTGTATTGAAGCAGACTTGAAACTATAAATTGAGACCATAAACTCGTTTAATGTCATTTTCTCATAGACTCCTATGTGACCGGAGGAGTCGCCCCCTGCTGGTCACTGTAACACATGAAGCTTTGACTTCACTTAAAGAACGCTGCAGTTAAAAGTTCAGGTGTATTGACAAGATAATGCAAAATGTCCTGAAAGCTGGCTAGCTAAGAAGAAAAGCATCAATTGGACCATTGACCACAAATCCAATACACATTTCAAGAGTCGGCGTGTGAGGCACTTTGTGAGTGGCTGCATGAGGGATGAACCTAAGAGAAGTTTCTTTGAAGTCTGTTGATTCTTTTCTTTAACAAACAGACTAAATAACAAAATTTACTTTGTAAACCAACAACTAATTTGCACTGCGGCGTTGTTTCCCTCCTCGGTGGAATGAGGTCACGTCCTTAGAGGTTGGACATCAGAATCCACAGTGTGTGGTTTGTGCATCAGGTTTTTTCTGGTTCTGTTTTGTTTTTTTTGCAGAATGACGACTCCCTCCTGAAGCTGCTGCCTCTGCAGGAACGACATGCACACGACGTTGCTGCGTTCAGACGTCACAGCCGCTCGATCGCGCACATTGTTGTTGTGTGACCAATGAGACCTTTCTCAGAAATCTGATGTCCCGTCAGACAGCAACAGAGCTGCTGTTTTTATTTAACGTCCTCCTGCGTAAAGTGCACTGACCGGCAGCAGCTGCGCACGGATCTGCTCAGAAAACGCACAACGCGTGTGTTTGCGTCGGACCAGTCGGGGGCCTCGCTGTGGGTCGTGGCACCAAGGAGTGTTTGTACCGGACCGGGAGGACGAAATGAGAATGAACCACAAAGCAGGTCACATGTGATGATATTATTCCAACTTGAACATTCACAGACACACAAGGGACGAATAAATCGGAATTATTTCTGCTTCTTCTTCACCCGACGTGGAAAAGACATTCTAGGCCTCGTCGTGTCGATGGCCCAATGTGAAATCCCCCCCTGAGGTGGTGACCCGGTCCTTCCCCTCACAGCTGTCTGTAACCTACAGCCCTTCTATTCCATATGTTACAATATATTATATTTTGTGTTATCATTTCAAATAGAAAAGAAAAACTTACATTGAATGCCATAACAAAATCTTTCCTATTGACAGTAAGCAGCGCGGGGGTCAAAGGTCATTCCTGCCGGTGAGCGTGCTGGAGGAGCTTAACAAGGGAGAGGTCTTTATGTGAGGGGGATCATGTGCGTCCGAGCAGCAGCAGCTAACGGAATGAAAACGAGAGGCCACCGATCCCCAGCAGGGGGCAGAAGAGCTCCTCCTTTGGGCCGTAAGGCCCGAGCCTTCACTTCCACCTCCCCCCCCCCGCCTGTTTTTCAATGTCACAGTTTCAATTACCGACGACCTTTTTGGTTTTCTCCTTTGGCCCGGCGCGGCACGCATTCGCGTCACGCAGCGCGCGATTCCCGCGGAATTCCTAAAGCGTCCCGGTAAACACATCTGACCTCGGCTCGGACGCACGCCACGGAACGACGCGCACCGACAGGCTGTGTGGAAGCACCGAGAGAAAGGAAAGAAACCAAAGGCTGTCAGGGACTTAAAAGGTCGTCCACGGCTTCCTGCGAACAGAAGCCCC